ACGGACGGACGGATGTGCAGATGGGAAGGTGGATGGACAGATGGGGGATGTATGGATGGGGGATCGGAGGGATGGGTAGCGGATGGATGGAGGGATGGAAGGAAGAAGGGGCAAGGAGGGGAGGAAGGGGCAAGGAGGGGAGGAAGGGAAGGAGGAATATATGGATGCATATGTTAAATATTAGACGGACGGACCGACGGAAATCAAGTCTACAAGAATGCCATAGCATGTGATAAATAACGGAAATGAGACAAGACAACTACTAAGCATGCGTACAGACTCGTAACCGAGAAAGAGAGAAAGTTCTAGAAAAAAAAATACCTGAGGCAACTTGCCACAAACAGAGACACACTACAATAGTGCTCCACTCGTTCAAGGGTGCCATTGAAGACAGAATCCGTCACTCACACCTGAAAATCAATCAGAACTCCTCAGCCTGATACTATTGACCTCGGCTCGGCCTCCCTCAGAACAGAACACCCCGACGACGGAAAATAAAATGTATCTAATAAGCCACTGTTACAACTCGTATTTTTCGTGCAACGTTTGGTGCTTATAACGAAAAGTTCGGTACCAGAACTTGGTGTCAAACTAATCGCGTGCAGCTAGAGTTGTGTGCCTGTTTCTTTTCGCGCGTTGAACGAAAGATATAAAACGCTACTTATAACTAAATGCCTTACATTGCATGTGRGGTAATTTTAGGAAGATCTTGAGAGAATTTGACCGCACCATTTAAGAATAGGCTTGTTAGCGAAAACGTGCGCAAACACGACACTGAATACGAAAACAAGGTATTCAAAAGGTGGAAAAAGCTGGAAAAATATGGACCCTTTGATTTTATCGGCAAATCAAGAGGCCATGGTAGCCTGCTTTGAATACTCGATTTTTTAACACTCAGTGTTTGGCGAGATCACCGAGCGTAAAAACATCAAGTCTGCAAACCAAGGCCATGGAGGACCGCGCCAAAAGATGCTGAAAATGACCACAATCAATCCTTTCGAAATTGTCCAGACCTATTCAATTCCGGCAAGCTATCAACACTTTGTTATTTTGAAACTGTGTAAAATTGACGAGCGTGGGAACAACGAGCTTGGAAAAATCAGAAATCGAGCCAGACAACGATTGCATGATATTTTGATAGTAAATAAAGATGTTTTTACTTTAAAGTAAACGAATCCATAGCATCTCACATTGCTAATCTGTTCAAAAGTACTTTAACATGTCATTCGTGATATCCTGTTTTCAAGTGCCAACTATTGAAAGGGTTTGATACAAAGCATTTCAGCGAAGAAGCGAAATTCTAAAATGACTGGAGCAATTAAAGATAACCTAAATCACAACGTATGTAAGATACACCTCCAGCATTTCTTAGTCATTTTGTCCGCTAAGATGGAGAAAATGAAACGATTTTCGCGAAAAATACCCTTCTTTTGCGTAAGAATTTCGAGGCATTTGAACCAAGCATACACTGAAGCAAAGCAGAAGATTAAGATCAGAGTAAGTTCGGGTCATTTGGATTCAAAAAGTTCAATGGCAAAATATCGATATGAATTTCTTTTAAAAAAAGCTTTTGGATAATTTGTGCAATGTTTTTTTAAGCAGAAAATATAAAAGGGAACTCACAGGAACTATGTTTTCCCAACATTTTTGTTCGTAACGACCTTCCTCAGGAAATCCGGAAAATCTCGCGGGCAGATATTTAAAGTGGAAGCCATGTGTAAGCCGGTTTTCGCGAAGGAATGACAAGATATGTTCGAGCTTTCTGCAATATGGTAGAATATCTGAAGTCTCTAGAAATGCTCAAGCCATACACGCCCACATTCATGTTGTTTTGCACCGAGCTTTCTATCTCAAGAAGCAAAATATTTGTCATAGGAATTTATCTACGCATGAAGATAGACTTACTTGCTTCGCGGCTTGCTTCAATAGCGTTTTGGTCGGTTACCGCGTTCGTCAGAGAGATTCAAGGTTAGTCCTTCATAGAAGATGCTACGAAATGGTTCTCTATGCCAGGACCTTGAATGATCCAGTGCACTACGATCGCTTGTGAGGTTAAACTAACTGACGAGGTTAAACTCACGCAGTAAGATCTCGAGGTAATAAATTATCATTGATTACTTCAATCAACACAACTTTCTACCCTCCTGCTTACTTCTCACAGAAAATCACTCGTTTCCTCGTTACCATGGTAATAAGCTATCTGGATTCGAGCCGCTAAAGAATATCCAATTAATATTGTGAGTTTATTTGATTTTAGTTTATCGCTTTAATTATTCATTATTTTCGGGTGTGATCATTTTTTGTATTATCGCAAAAGAACAATCTGATTCTATTATTTCAAATGCAAGGTTTGCGTAATTTTGGATTTGTCGTTGTTGTTGTGGTTGTAGCTGTTGTTGTAAAAGATTGTGTCAACTATTGTCAGATATATTTTATTCTTTTTGCCTATTATACCTTCAAGAGAATCCATTTTTACACATTCTAACGAAAAAAAAACATCTCTTTACAAACACAGAATCTATTGTTCTAGGGTGAATAAACACGCATAACACCAATCAAAACCAATCGACAGGATTGAATGCGATCGTACGATCAACAATGCAAACACTGTAACACTACATCTTGTGAAATCGTATCTTTATGTACACTTTTCATTTGATATTCACAGGAAACTCCCGAACGAGATAACTTTAGGGATACAGTTATCAATAACCGAATCCCAATTGGATTGAAAAATATATATTGGAAACGCAAACTGACCTAAGACAAGATCATTATGTTTCACTGTGAAAGAAAAATTTGGCGAATTATTTCAAGTATGGAGGAAATACTTCAAATGTCAATAAAAAGTAGAAAAAAATAGTCATATTACGTAGGATTGAGAAGAACGAAGTTTTTAAAAAAACCAAATTCTTTACATATTTTTATCACTGATAACAGTAATTAAAAAATGTCAGTGAAAAAAAAATTTTTTCTAGCGTTTTTAATTAGGAAAGGTTTAATTTAAATTTGTTAACAATCAATGGCAACTTTGGTTCGTTTTTGTCACCTCACCTGAGGAAGTCTTTGCTATTTTGTGAGTTATCGGTAGTTGGTTGGTAAACATGGCCGAAAGAAAGCCAACAAGATGGACAGGATTAACCGTAGTTTGCTTTTCTCATGACCCGTGAATATACAAAACTGTATAATTGAATCACTAATGCCTCACTGCTTCAAAGACCGAAGACCGTCTCACGATTTCAACTCACCCTCGTTTAACTCACATTACGAAAAAAATTATGCAAGAAAATTAAACAATGAGGTCTTGACTGTCCAATTTGGCGCCAATATTTTAAATAGAGTTTTGTAAACTTTCAAGTAACACCTTCTACTATTGAAGTGCTTAAATGTGATATCTGTGCAACAACAGATTGTTACGTTGAAGTTCGGGCGCGCGGGGTTTGTGATCAGCTTTTGATTTAATCCAGGTATACTGTGCTGCTGAAAGAGCAGGACACAGTGCTTAAGGCATACTTAAAGAAAAGTTGTAAACTTACGTTCTTTGAATGCAAATTCAGTTAGGAGTCTTCCAGGATGTTGTTACACTTACGTTATTGATGAGGTTTCAAACTGACAAAACATTGGAGCGTGGTTCCTTGAAAAATTATTGAAAAGAAGTTTGTAAATGAGCTCGTACAAGAGTTCGGTGAGCACTTGATATGCACTTGGAAACCGTTCTTACAGACCACGTACAAATAAAGCAGTCTGCAATATTAAGTCAAAATGAAAGCTGATCCATTGTCAGATTCGCAAGAGCTAGAGCGTCAGTGCTACTGTAGCTATGCCTTGGTCAGTTCTTTGGTTCTAGCAGAGATTATTTTGTCAATAAATTCAATGAAATGATAGGCTAAGACCGTAGGCATTCAGTGCAAGAGACAGACTAGACATGTATGAAGTCAGTCATCGATCGATCATCTCATACAAAACAAACACTTGACTCTAGGAATACAATCAACAGTCAAGGCCTGGAGACAAGTGCTGTGCTGCGTCTCTAACTAGGTCTGCTAAAAATAAAAAAAACTTGAGCTAAGACACCTCTCTTGGTTATTATGGGTGAACGGCCGGAGGCTTGACATATATAAATAGAGTTGAGTTGAATTTAATAACCTGCCCGTTCAATTCTAGTTAAGTTACCTTTAATAAGAAAAATAAAGGGAAGACAAAAGAAAAGAAGAAGAAGAAGAAGAAGAAGAAGAAGAAGAAGAAGAAGAAGAAGAAGAAGAAGAAGAAGAAGAAGAAGAA